AAGAGATGACAAATCTTTGTTCATCACAGTGATGGGACAAGGGGGGGACAGTTTTAAACTAAAAAAAAGGAGAGATTTAGATGAGATATTCGGAAGGAATTCTTGGCTGGGAGGGTGGGGAGGGGCTGGGATGGATTTCCCAGAGAAGCTGTGGCTGCCCCTGGATCCCTGGAAGTGTCCAAGGCCAGGTTGGACGGGGCTTGGAGCAACCTGGAACAGTGAGAGGTGTCCCTGCCCACGGCAGGGAAGTGGAAGTGGATGAGCTTTAAGATCCCTTCCCATCCAAACCATCCTGGGACTCCACCACCAACTCTGCCATTAAAAACCAATATTCCAGCAGGGACCCCCTGACTTGATGACCAGCAAAGACCTCCCTTGTCCCTGGACCAGAAACCAGAGTGAGCCCGAGCTCAGGGGACATTTTAACCAGGCCCAAGAGTTACGAAAACCTGGATTTTTGGTGGGTTTTTTTTTCCGTGACCTCCTAAATCCTGCAAAATTTCCCCTGAAATTAGGCGGATTAACTTTGATCCCAGTGACTGGTCCCACACCTTGCTTTGATGGTGGCGTCAGGAATCCCTTTGATGTGATCCCTGTTTGTTCACGGTTTTCCCCGGCACAGCACAGCTCAACTCCAGTGGTTTGGTGGCTCTCAGATCTCCCGCTGTTCTCTCCTGTCGTTCTTTCTCTGCCATCGTTTTGTGCCTCCCTCCTGCTTTCCTGCGAGTCCTGCCACGTCCCCGTGACCTCAAGGAAACCCTCCCGCCCTCTCTCTCCCTTCAGCAAATCCCGTTTCCTCCGCCAGACTCCCCTCAGCAAACCTTGGGAAGCTGCTTTGGGCGTCTCGTTTTCCGCGGGGTTTTGTTGCCTCTGACATCCATTTTACATGAGGGGTTTGCTCGTTGTGCCCTCGGGCATCCAAGAATCCGTCTAATCTGAGGAACAACCGCACCTGACACCGGCTCGGGGAGGGTGGGGGTGGTGGAGGTTGTTGGCTCGGGTTTCTCTTCTCCCTCGGGTCGGGGCAGGGTCTCTGCCCGAGCCCGGGGCGGCTCGCACAGCATTCCTGGGAGATTCCAAGCTCAGCCAGCCAGACCTGGGCACGGTTTGGGGGCCGTGGGTCGTTCAGAGCAAGGCTTGGCACAGCCCAGGGGGGACAACCTGAGCAACGATAAGGAGCCTTTCTGGGAGGGATTCCTGGGAAAAGGCAGCAGAGGGGATGTATCCATGGAAAAAGAAGCCCCCGAACACCAGCACCTGCAGTGCTGCACCTGTGCTGCCGAATAATCCCTGAAGAGGAGCCCAGGCAGCAGCAATTACCTCCAGCTTGGGTGATATTAAAGGCAGATCCTCGATAAACAAGCAGATCTCAGAGAATTCCTTTGCCTCCCTGCGATAATCCCCCGTAATTGAGGATAAATGCCAGATTTGCTGGAACGTTGCACAAATGGAGAGAGGCTCAGCTCTCACTTGGGAGGGGGAACTCACTGAGTGTATTGGCTGTGTCGATACCAACTCAGCAATCCTGGTTCTCAGCTGCATCTACAGCTCCGTGCTGGGAAAAAAAAAAAAGTGGCTTTTAAACTCTTCAGACAGGGGTTTGTTCCACTTTTTTTCGTGGCCGGCACAAGAGAACCCTAAACCTCACAAGAAACCTTTAGGAGCTGCTGCCTAAAAAAAAAAAAATAAAAAAAAAAAAATAAAAAAAATTAGAACAACTTTTTATTTAGGAAAATAACGCCGGGACGTTTGTTTGGCCACAAGAGGCGTTTTGGGCCAACTGTTTAGTGAAAAGCCTCAAAGGACCCGGCCCAAAAGCGGCGCTGGAGCTTGGAAACGCACCACAGAAAGAGGGTGAGGTGGAAACCGGGACGCCCTTTGAAGTGGAAGTGCAATACCCGCGGACCAGGGGACGCGGATTAAAACCGTGATTCATAAAAGGCTTTTTTTGCTCCGGCACTGGGAACGTCTGGGGAACAGCCCTGAGGAGTGGTGGGTCCAGCAGAGTTAATCCCAGCGGGAAAGGGCTGCACAGGAGCACAACTTGCCAAGTTAATCCCCGGCTGGGGTAATTCACGGGCTGATTGTTCCTGTGCACGGGGGATAATCTTGGCTCTATCGGTTATTTACTTTAAC